GTTGGAGGTTGCTGTGAGCTGTGATGCCACGGCACTCTACCCAGGGGGACAGCTTGAGGCTCCGTCTCAAAAAAAAAAAGAAGCAGAGTGTTGAAAGAGGGCGTTGATTACCAGAAACCAGAAGGCTCCGTGGAATTTAGCATGATCACCAGGGACTCAAAGTTTACTTTACTGTTTTGATTTCATCTTAGAACATCTGTAGTTTTGATTCCAATTTGAAATCGCTTAATTCAGTAAACAGAATTTTTCAATTGGATTTTGGTGTTTAGAAAATTAGGGTTTTTTTTTTAAGCCTATAGCAGACATGGCTAGTTGGCTACCCAATAGCCATTGCCCCTTCTTGTCTTCTAAGAAATGGTGATTTTTATTTGGGATGATAAAATGCTCAGCCCCAGGTGATGATTCAGGCTTCCTCTAAGCCAATCATAAATCCTATTTCTCTTGTTTGTTGCCTGATTTGCAAACTGCCCTGAAACGAAGAGTCGTAATAAGGCCCAGTGTGGCCAATGAGACATAACAGAAAGTCTACTGGGGGATTTCCAGGGTAAAGCTTTTGCTTTTCAGAGATGTGAGATACAGATTAAGCATTCCTAATCCAAAAGCCGGAACTTCTGGAGCAAGGACAAGTGGAAAACACTACAAATGGAGAATTCCATGCCTGACCCTGTGTGACTGGTAACAGTCAAAATTCAGGCACATGACACGGTTTTCATTGCTGGTCTTTAGCATCTGCTATGGGTATTCTGGTGAGACTACTGTGCTCAGTTACCCGGAACACATAGTTTTTTCACTGTATTTAGGGACCATCACACTTTCTACTATTAACTACTTACACGTGAATAAATGTAAGAAAATTATTACTTATTGGTAGCATATAAATTCAGAGTTGGGAATGGTGGTCAAATAATTGCAGAGTGTCCACATGGGTGGCTGAGCTAGTGACACCTTTGCTTTTTTGATGGTTTAATGCATAGAACTTTATTGTTTGCATGAAATTACTTAAAACATTACATAAAATAACCTTCAGACTAAGGTATATATGAAATAAATTTTGTGTTTAGACTCAGTCTCACCTTCCAGATAACTCATTATGTACAGACATGCACTGCTTAATGGCAGATATATGTTTTGAGAAATGCATTGTTGGACAATGTTGTCATTGTGTGGACATCCTGGAGTGTACTCACACACACCGAGATGATACAGCCTGCTATACCCCTCAGCTACAAGCCTGTGCAGCATGTTACTGTACTGAATACGCGGGCAGTGAAACACAACAGTAAGTATGTAGGCACCTAAACATTGAAAAAGTACAGTACAAATATGGTATTAAAATCTTATAGGACTATGGCTGCCTATGTGATCTATTGTTTTCTTAACTGTTGTTATGAAACACAAAATCAAAAAAAATCCAAAATCCAAAAAAATCCTAAATCCCAAGCCTCTGGTCCCAAGCATTTCGAATAAGGAATATTGGACCTGTAGCTTTTGATCTGCTTGGAAAAGGCCCTGAAGAGAAAAAAGAATATTAGCAATCCAATCTTTACCTCCAGTGTTATTGAGATAATTTAAAATGTGTATTGGCTAAGCCAGAAGTAAGGAAACAAATCCAGCCCACCCTGTGTTTTTGTAAATAGAGCTTTACTGGAACGCAGCCAGGGGACATCATGTGCTATCTATGGCTGCTTCCAACAGAGTAATTGCAAAAAGGATCATACTTTAGAACTCAAATTCTAAAGTATTTACCAGCTGGTCCTTTAAGAAAAGTTTACAGACACCTGGTCTAAGCCACTGTTGGTTGAATCTCCTATTGCTTGGTAATTAAATTCATTTGTAACTGATATGAAGGCCATTGTGACCAGCAAAATAAAACAAAATAAAAAGTCATTGCAGTCCAGAAAGAGAGTGTGTGGCACACTCCAGTGCCCTGCTCTAGTTGGGCTGGGTAATGTGCTTTTTTCCACCCAGCAAGCAAGACAACATTTCAGCACAGAAGGTTTTCATGCACTGCCCTGAGAACTCACCTGCTTGGTATAAATAACAAACCACTGCCAGCGACTATCCTCACTGTATTGAAATCTGAGCTCCAAGTTCTGGTTGAGAGTTCGCTGGGGCCCATCCAAATCCAGCAGAGTTCCCTGCAGAGGAAAAGATATTTGATATTCAATAGAAGTTTAAATGTCTGTTAATGTGCTGGCCAAAATGTCAAAATGAACAAGACTGTCCTTATGGCCAAGAAGCTATCAGTGGATTGAGGAGCCACAAAAGTAAACCAGCACAGTGTGGTGCTGTGAGCGCTGGAGCAGAAGCAGACACAGGTCTATGGAAATAAACAGGAATGGGCAGCTAACCCAGGCTGGGAGGGGACGGGGGGCTTGCTGGAGGGAGGAGGCATCTGAGCAAAGTAGAAACTATCCACGTTTGTTTTGTTTTGGGGGGTGGGAGTGAAGGTGAGAGGTGGTCCCAGGTAGAAGAAAGAGCAAGTGCAAATTCACTGAGGCAGAAGGAAGCCTGGCACATTGGAGACACCGTGAGGGATGGAGTTTGGCTGCAACTCAGCCTCCGTGCACAGAGGGTGGTGTGAAAAGAGGTTAGAGGCAGGGTAGGACCAGATCCTGAAAGCTGGCTAGGGGACATCTGTGACTTTTGTTATACAGCATCTATCACTCTTCTCCCAAGTATGGGGTCTCAAATTCTCTTGGGAAAACCATGTCTCTTCCACTGGAGGTTATCTATGTAGGACTGTCAGGGAATGGTGAGTCAGAAGGTGGCATATGACACAAGGTTAGACCAGTGGATAAGTAATTCTGTGTGTTCCTCGTTTGATTCCAGAGTAGAGACACCCAAAGAACAGGCCCCAATAAAGAGTTCCTGTTTCCTATAAATCTGACCTTCTTTGGTCCCTGCTTTTCATAAGCTTCAGCTTTTCCTTTGAATGTGTAGGTTACTACACATTGTTCCAATAATTCCCTTTTTCTACTAGCATTGGTTTCTGTTGCTTGCTACCAAGCAGCCATAACTCTTATAGGTTTTATAAGCTAAGGATCTTTTCCCTACAGAGGGCAACAGACGTCAAGAGATTTTAGCCAGACACAGATAAATAACTTGTAATCTCAGATACTCAGAAGGTTGAGGCAGAATTCTTTGAGCCCAAGAGTTCAGGACCCGCCTGGGTAACATAATAAGACTTTGCCTCAAGAAAAAAAAAAAAAAAAATATATATATATATATATATGTATATATACACACACACACAAACATATACACATATATACTTAAAAGCTGGGAAGTAATACAATTAGATTTATATTTTTAAAATATGGGTCTGACAGCATCAGTGTAAAAAATGAACTGGGAATAGCTGTTTTCAGACGTCAAACAACAGATAATGCAGGATTGTTAACCCAGAAAGAAGGAAACCAAACAAGTGAGTCCCACCATTATCCCAGCTTACTGCCGAAAGGAGTTTTCAGGGTGTAGCTCAAGGACAGGGAACCCAAACAGATCCCAGAGATCTTGTTGAGTTGAGGAGAAAGAGATGTTTAAAGAAGCTAAAGTTCAAATTTATTGGGCAGAATACCAAAGAGCAGGGCATTATACACAGAGCTCTGAGGCCTCCTCTCAAATCTGTGTACATGGAGAGTAAACTCTGTGAGGCTAGGGAAAGAGCTGAAAAACAGTAACCTGAACAATTCCAGGAGGTCACAAATAAGGCTGCAGAGAGTTCATGTTCCCATCAGTCAGGATAGAGCAACAAGGCCAAGATGTTGGGTAGAGTTCTAAGATGAGTACCTCTGGAGTAAAGGGCTAAATTAGCTCTAAAGACTACTCTGGATTTTGCAGAAGCTTAAAAGCAAACCTCAAAAAAGTAAAACTAATCCCAAGTAACTTACCTGCATGTCAGAACAAAGTCTAATACTCTTTTAAGGAATTTAATAAAATTCAACCATGTAAAATGTGACGATGTTTGACATCCCACCAAAAGATTACCTGGCATGAAAAGGGGAAGGAAAATATTATCTGAAAGTAGGAGAGAAAACTCAATCAATAGAAACAGATCCAGAAATGACGGAGATGATGGATAGTAGATAAAAACATTAAAACAGTTATTTAAAGTATGTTCCGCACACTTGGGAATTGGGGAAAAAAAATAGAAGCATGGTAAAGAGAGAAATAGGAGATGAAAAATACAATATTAGAAGTAAAAATGCACTGGATGGTATAAATAGCAATACTAGACATTATATAAGAAAATATCAATAATCTTAAAGCCACAGCAATAGAGACTACCCAAAATAAAGCAGAGAGAAAAAATACTGAAGTAAATAAAACCACCCATTAATAAATACAATGATACCCATTAGGTTGGCTGTAATAAATAAAAGAAAATCAGATAATCATAAGTACCGTGTTTCCCCAAAAATAAGACACTGTCTTATATTTATTTTTTCTCAAGAAGACATACTAGGGCTTATTTTCAGGGGATGTCTTCCTCTCTGCTCCAAAATGCATGGTGTGGCTATGCAGATATGCTGCATATCCATGCCCATCACTAGGTCTTATTATCGGGGTAGGGCTTAAATTTAACAAATGCATAGAAATCCTGCTAGGGCTTATTTTTTGAGTAGGTCTTATTTTGGGGGAAACATGGTACTGGTAAAGATATGGGGAAACCAGACCTCTATCTGCTGCTAGTGGGGATATAAAATGGTACAGCCACTGTAGAAAACAGGCTAGCAGTTCCTCAAAAGTTTAAACATAGAATTACCATTTGACCCAGTAATTCTACTCTTAGTATATACCCAAGGAAAATGAAAACATAACTTCACACAAAAGCTTTTGAACAAATGTTCATAGCAGCATAACTCACAACAGCCAGAAAGGTAGAAGCAATCCAAATGTCCACTGATGGATGAATGGATAAATAAAATGTGTTGTAACTGTTTGGTGAAATATGATTTGGCCATTAAAAAAAAATAAAGTACTGATAACATGCTATAGTCAAGATGAACCTTTGAAACATGCCAAGTAAAGAGCTAGTCAGGAAGACCACCTATTACATAATTCCATTAATATGAACTGTCTAGAATAGACAAATCTAATTTACAGGGGAAGAAAGCAGATTAGTGGTTTTCTTGGTTAGTAGTTGGGGGGATGGGGAGGTAACAGGTAAGTGGTTTGGGTTCTTTCTGAGATTAAGTGTTCTGAAACTGACTGTGGTGAAGGTTGCCCAACTCTGAATGCACTAAATACCACTGAATTGTATACTTTATACAGGTGAATTGTATGGTACATGAGTTAGACCTCAATAAAACTCTTAGAAAGAAAGACAAAAATTATGTGACTTTGGTGGAGGAATATATACATGTATCATCAAGAGAGAACAGAGAGCCAGAAATAGATCCACATGAATGTGCCCAAATGATTTTTGACAGAGATGTAAAAACTTAATTGAAGAAAGGCAGCCATTTCAACAAATGGTACCAGAGCAACTCGACTTCCACAGCCCAAACAGGAAACCTTATTTTAAGTTTCATACTCTCTATAAAAAATTAACTCAAAATGGATCAAGGACTAACATGTAAAAGCCATAACTATAAACCTTTCAAGAAAAAAATAGTAAAACTTCAGAGTCTAAGGTTTAGCTAAGAGTTCTTGGACTTGATATCAAAAGTATAATTCATAAAAGGAAAAAAAAGATAGGTTAGATTTCATCAAAATTATCTGCCAAAGACCCTTTTTAAGAAGATAAAAAACTATAGAGTAAGAGAAAATATTTGCAAACTAGATGGTCCATAAAGGACTAGTATCTAGATTACATAAAGAATGCTCAAAATTCAACAGTAAAAATGCAGATAATCCAATTAGAAAATGAATTAAACATCTGAGGAGACATTTCACTGAAGATGTACAGATCTTGTACCATGTTTCCCCCAAAATAAGACACTGTCTTATATTTATTTTTTCTCAAGAAGACACACTCGGGCTTATTTTCAGGGGATGTCTTATTTTTATTAAGTATAATACAACAATATACATTTATTCAAATACGGTTAAGTCATCTTCTTCTGGAACCTGATGGGGGGAGCCGACCTTGTTGGTGGGGCTGGCGCTAGTGATGTGTGAACTCCTCTCCCCTAGCCGTTCACACGTGTGCAATGGGATGCCTGTGACCACAGTTACCACATGCGCACCCATGCAAGTGTGAACGGCTCGGAGAAAGGAGCTGTGGCAGATAAAAGGTATTCCAGTCTTCATTATTGCTCTGCGCAGAAATGCATGGCGTGGCTATGCATCACTAGGTCTTATTATCGGGGTAGGGCTTATATTTAACAAATGCATAGAAATCCTGCTAGGGCTTATTTTGGGGGTAGGTCTCATTTTCGAGGAAACACGGTAAGCACGTGAAAGATGCTCAGCCTCAGGAGCCATGAGGGAAATGCAAATTGGAATCACAATGAAAAGCTATTATAGGCAATTCCTGAGTTACAAACATCTGACTTTCACTTATAAATGGAGGCTAATACAGTAAGTCCCAGAGTTACAAACATTCAATTGAAGTTAGACTTGTGCTTATGAATGGAGGCTCTCACAGGTGGTAGATAAATGTACTTGTTTCAACTTACATACAAATTCAACCTATCTCTTTTATAACTGGGGGGATGCCTGCACATACCTATCAGAGTGACTAAAATACAAAACAGTGACAACACCAAAAGCTGATGAGGATGCTGAGAGACCGGGTCATTCATACCTCGCGGGTGAGAAGGTAAATGGGTAGCCATTCTCTGAAACAGTCCAACAGTTTCTTAAAAAAGCACACACGCGATATTGTATGACCCTGCAGCTGCTCTTCTGGGTGTTCATGCCAGAGAAATGAAGACTCGTGGAAAGACAAAACCCCGTACATGAATATTTACAGCAGCTCGATTCCTAATAGCTAAAAACTGGAAACAACCAGATGTTCCTCAGTGGGTAAATGGTTAAAACAAAGTTTGGCACGTGCCTATCGTGCCCTCCTGCTCAGCAAGGAAAGGAGACAAACGACTGGATGAACTTCTAAAGAATTATGCTGAGCAAAAAAAAGAAAAAGTCAATCCCTAAAGTAATTGACATTTACGGAATACTCCAGAAAAATAGCAGAAGGCACATTCTTTCTGAGCACATAGGAAACACTTACCAGGAAAGATCAAATGTGGAGCCATAAAGCAAGTTTCTTTAAAGGACTGAAATCATGTCAAGTATTTTCTCTGACCCCTGGGGGGTAGAGCGGGCAGGGAGCCGGTCCACCCATCCATGTAGGCAATGCTGAGACTGAGCTGTGAGTGCAGAAACAGTGGGAGGCTCTGAGGGATGACAGGGCTGGCCTCCATCAGCACGTACACATGCAGGATGAGAGTGAGGAGAAAACAGCTAGTTTCACGATTCCTGGTTTGGAAGGTAGGGGTAGCAGAGAAAGTACCGTTTACCAAGCCAGGGACCCAGGAGGAGGAACTCCACAACAGGCAGAGGGAGGGAAGTAGGAGTCTGCCTTTGGGAAAGGTTGTGTTTGAGATGTCAGTGAGATACCATGAGGCATCTAAAGGGAGCGGGAAATCCTGGGCCTTGGAGAGGGAGCTGAGCTATCGATTTCAGAGATATGTAGGGGACAGATGCTAGAAATGGCCCCCCGGGAAACCCCAGCCTGTGGGCAGTGCGTGGAGGGAGAATTGGCTCACAGTAATAGTGGGGGAAGGAGAGGAAGTTTTGAGAAGCAAGAAATTGTTGATAGTGTCAAATGCTCCAGAGAGGGCAAGTGCTAGACAGCTAAAAAGTCCCCAGGGAGCTCATGGGTTTAACAAATGGCCATCATGGCTGCTCTATTAGCTTTTTCCCTTTACTAGTCAACCTCAGTTTCCTGTGCAAAGAGGATGACCGCACTTAGCTGAATGAGTTCTGGGAGAATTTAATAACAGATGTGGTGGTGGCCAGCAGAGCACCTGGTACAATGTAGGGACTCAATAAATCTGATAAGAGTTTCTCTTGTAAGGAGCTGGTGATGCAAGCACAAGCCAGGGCTCCTGAGGAAGAGCTCTGCTGGTCACGGCCAGTTTTGAAGGGTAGTGATCTTACCAGCACTGAGCACATAGTAAGCACTCAATAAATGGTAATGGTTCAAGCAGCAGAGGTCTGCTTTTAGAAGGTAGGAAGTCTTCTGGGAACCCACACCAGACTGCAGATAGGTTTTACCACTGAATGAAGTGCACCGTGGCTTAGATGCCACTCTAGTCAAGGTGGGGATACAGACAGCAAACCTGTCTCCCCAGAGCCAACTTTGTCATCCAAGAGCAACAGGATCTTATTTATTTTTTTGCCATTCGTTTATATTTATTTTTTTAAATTTCAGGTTAATGTGAGGGTACAACTAGGTTACAATATTTGCATTTGTAGTTGTGTCTGCACCCAAGAGGCGTTCCATATCTCACATTGTGCCCATCAAGTGGGAGTATCCTAATCCCCTTCCCCACCCCAGAGCAACAGGATTTTAAAATCACAGGTGAAAACTTGCAACCATGGGCAAAGCAAGGTGTCAAGATACTCACAAGGAAAGTGACCTGCCAGCACTTCACCCCATTCATCTGGAAAACGACATCCTGGGTCTGGTCACCAGGCAGGGTGATGCAGCAGCTGATCTCGTTGTTGCCGATGGAGAGGACAGCCCCACAGCCTGGTTCCGGACAGTCGCAGGTGCATGGGTCCAGCTGCATGTACCCGTAGTGCTGTACCTCCTGGCACAGCTCCAAAAACTGTTCCAAAATCAGGGCAGGTGACGGGTAGAGGGAAGCAAAAGACCATTTGAAGCAAACAGAAACCTCACATCACAAGCTCCTGCCATCCTCACAGAACACATGGAATCACGACCTGGACAAGCATGGTGGCTCATGCCTGTGATCCCAGCACTTGGGAGGCTGAGATGGGTGGATTGCCTGAGTTCACAGGTTCGAGACCAGCCTGAGCCAGAGCAAGACCTCATCTCTAAAAATAGCTGGGCATTGTGATGGGCACCTGTAGTCCCAGCTACTTGAGAGGCTTAAGGCCCAGAGTTTGAGGTTGCTGTGAGCTGTGACACCACGGCACTGTACCCAGGGTGACAGCTTGAGACTCTGTCTCAAAAAAAAAAAAAAAAATGGTGAAGCTCTATTTTGCAAGAGAGTTGAAGATGAATAAATAACCTCTTTAAGATGAGTATTGGTATTTGCTATTCAATAAAGGAGTATTGTGATATTACTAACTATATGAAAATCAAGAGACAGAAATCCACAAAGATTTTTATACTTGAAAAATTATTTCTTTTAAGAAGATTGTATCTGAATAACACAACATAGGTAATTACAGAAGATATATTTGTATATTTTCATTTGGATCAGGGGGCTGGCAAGTACTTACATATAGTAAGTATTTTAAGCTTCCTGGGCATATGGGTTCTATGGCAACTACCCACCTCTGCCATTGTAGCACAAAAGCAGCCTTAAACGTAACATGAATGAGTGTGACTATGTGTCAATAAAACTTTATCTATACAACAGTGGCACATGGACCATAGTTAGCCTATCTCTAATTTAGAATCAGATGATTCTTTAAATTAATTTTATTCACTTTTAGTTCCGAGTTTTATTGTATATATACATAAAATAATAGTTGTTAATGCATTTGCTCCTTTAGCAGGAGAAGAACTTCACAAATAATGCTGGTTATTTACCAGTACATTTCAGTTAATTTCAATGATTTCATTTTTTTCACCTAATTCATGTCTTCAAAATTTTTAAAATGCATTATTATGAATAATATGATAAATTTAAGTAAAGCATTTACTAGAGAAGATCAAATTTGCTTTGTGGAAAAAAATACAAGTACACATTTAAGGAGAGCATTGTAAAAATAATATTCTTAGTACATTAAGAAGTTTATAGGGCAGGCATGTGCTTAGAATTGCTGGTGGTACATACAATCTGTGATTGTGTCTGAAGTACCAGCAATATTCTACCCATCAAAATAGAAGCTGTAATTGTACAAATTTGCAAATACAGAGAAACTCCACTGCAAGGTTTTTGTGACAAAGCTTAGGTAGAACCCCCGGGGGATTGGGAAGGATAGTAAAAAATAATGTCAGTATGTACCTTTTCCTTTTCTTTCTTTCTTTTTTTTTCTGTAGCCCATCAATTAAAATCTCAAAGTGTCTGAGCCTTTGAAGAATTACTTTGGATGTCAACCTAAGTATACATAAGTCCTCTAAATTTTAATTGTATTCTGTTTAAAATCAATGCTATAGTTGTGAACATTGGCCAAGACAAAAGCATACAAACAAAAAAACAACACAGTGAAGCAGAGGCCGTTTCTTCTGTTAAAATGTCTTATTTGTCAGACTCATTCCCTGCTGGGGAGCAGGAGGTGTGTGAGTTGGTACCACCGTTAGGGAAGCTTTAAAAACAGATGCTTAGAAATATATCCTGAGGAATAATAGAACACATATTCAAAGACAGGATGTTGGCTGCAGTGTGCAGGGACTTCAGCCAGGAACTGTAGCAGGTGCCGTGAATCCACAGAGTAAGTAGAAATTAGACACAGTCCTGGGCCTCATGGTGCTCCCTGCCAAAGTGATTTATAGCAGCAAAAGCTACAAACAACCTGACTTCCAATAATAGAAAGCCGGTTAGGCAGACGATGACATAATCATGAAATAGAATACTCTGTAGTCACTAAAAATATTTCTGAGGATCTATGTCAATTAACATGGCAAAGGACTCACTATGGTCTGTATTTTTACACCCTTTTAACAACAAGCTTTCATCAATTCTATAATCAGAAAAATCAATAAAAGTTTTCTTTTTTTAAAGAGCCTTTCAGTGCTTTATAAATGACAGAAGCAGCTCAAATCCAACATGTTTCTTTAACCCTCTTCCAAGGGATTTCTCTTGGTACAATATTTGATTCACCTTTGTTCGATTGTCTTCTTTCTGGAGAGCTTCTAATTTCTCCCTCTGCACCTGTGTGGGTTTGGCCCATCCTTTTCCAATGTCCTGTACTGCCTTAAAACAACAGAAATTGTAAAATGAGCAATCTTAGCAGAAATGAATTAATCTGACAAAAACATACTTGTATATGAAGCGCTGTTAGAACAGACCCAAATGGACACATATTGAAGGACTTAGCATGTTAGGGAGGTTACTCTTTAAATTAGTGAGTTAGGAAGAACAATTCATTTGGGGACAATTGGCAACATTTGGCAAAGAAAATAAAATGAGTTTTTTCCCCAGCACTCCTTGATCAAATAAATTCCAGATAGCTCAAAGATTTAAATGTAAAAAACTATAAAAGAACTTGAAAAGATTATCTTTATCTGATCTTGAGATAGAAAATATCTTTTTAAGATATAAAGGCCAAAATGTCATAATGAAGGAATAGTAATATATAATTACCTGAAAATGTAAAGGCCACCAGAACAAAATTAAATCAAATGGAAAACCAGGGGAAATGGCGGCATCACATATGACAAAACATTAATATTTACATAAAGCAATAGGAGAAATGCAAACATTCACAAAAGGAAAATGGATAAAAGATACGTTTCGGCAATTAACACACACACAAAATCCCAAGTGACAAATATATTTGAATCGTAAACATTGATGTTGGAAAAAACATATTGATAAGGCCATAATTGTTATTGTTTATACTAATGAAAAGTCTCAGCTTGTTAGTTAATAACCTGTATAGTGCTAATGATGTGTCTGGCAGTGTTCTAAGTATTTCAACTCGATCCTCACAGCCACTCTGTGTGATAGATGCTATTATGATATGCCCCAATAGCAGTAGACCTTAAATTTTTATAAAACACAAAATAAATATAAAACAAAAAAAACCTCACATGCATACTTGTGAGTCGAGGCAATGCATGTGCACATAAATGGATATATATGAAATAAACACATCGGCAAACAGTTTATGTGTGGGGATGATTTCAGATTTGGGGTGACAGTCACCTTCATTTTTGAACTCTTCCATATTTGCACCTTGTTTATAAGACAAAAATTTTACAACTTTTTAAAAAATTAAAAATTGAATATATTGCCGGACCCTGTCTGGTCAGCTTTGAGTAACTGCCAAGTGTCCCCAAACCCCAAATCCTTAATGGATTTCTCGGTTGTTTCCTAAGCCCTGGCAGAGCGACACTGGGCTCGAAGGCAGACATGGCCTGGAGGACAATGGCCCCCTCTGGAAGTTTGGCAGGGTTGTTCTGGAGCAGAATGAAACATGGACGTAAGGCTGCTGTCTATTATTTGCAGCCTGCCTTCCTGCTCCAGGCCCTTTCCTGTGCTCATCCCTCTCCCACTGGCACCCAGATCCCCTCCCCTTTAGCCAACCTGGCCCTAGACAGCTTGGTATGAGCTGTAGTCTCATCAGCTGCATAACCCCAGCCTGTGCTACTGTGACTTATTAAGATTGAACAGCACGGGCCTTTGTTCCTCAGTTAGATGGTCAACCCCCCCAAGGGATGACCCTGTGCCCTCCGCCTTAGGGAATCTTGCCCTGTGTCCTACATACAGCAAACACTCAATAATCCTCTGCCAATTACTAGGGGCTTATTTACACCTTAGTCTGAACACAAGGCTATGTGTTACGTCCCTCAGGGTCATGCTTTATCTCTGAAAGAAGAGAACACTCTTTTGGACGTTGGGGAAAAGGATTTAGAGAGGAGAAAAATAATATTTGTTGAGAACCGGTTTTAGATAGATTTTCTCATTGACTGTTTCCCAGGTCCAGTAGTGCCCCTTTATCTTTGCGGGGTGCCTTCCAAGACCTGCAGTAGCGGCCTGAAACCACAGAGGGCACCAAACTCTATCTATGCCATGTTTTTTACTGGGTATACACAACTTTGATAAAGTTTAACTTACAAATTAAGCACAATACTCTTGCACTTTGGGGCCTCTATGAAGTAAAAGAAGGGTTACTTGAACACAAGCGTTGCGCTACCTCGACAATCTGATAACTGAGATGTTATAAAGTGACTAACAGGCAGGTGGGCAAAGGAAGGGTTTCTGTCCTGGGTGGGATGGAGTGGGATGGAACGAGAATTCATCATGCTACTCAGAGCTGCACACAACTTAAAAGTTATGAATTGTTTATTTCTGGAATTTTCCATTTAACATTTTTGGACCATGGTTGATCACAGGTAACTGAATCCAGGGAAAGTGAGACTTTGGATAAGGATAAGGGGGTACTGCTATATTCAGTAGGAGAGGAACAATTACCACCATTTTACAGATGGGTAAATTGAGGTTCAGAGAGGTTATGACATTCAAGATAACCCAGGAAGTGAGTGGCAGGAATTAGATTAAACCCATGTCTGAGCACTACCCTCGAGCCCTCTGACCCTTGCCCAAGCCACTGACTTCTTACCAGATAGGCACATACCTGCCCCAAGACTCTCTCCTTGCTGCTAAGTGTTCTCAGAAATGAACCTACAGGCCTGGCACCGGCCACGTACACTGGGACTGGTGGGTTCGAGCCCGGACCAGGCCTACTAAACAACAATGACAACTACAACAAAAAAGTAGCTGGGTGTTGTGGTGGGCACCTATGGTCCCAGCTACTTGGGAGGCTGAGGCAAGAGAATCACTTAAGCCCGAGAGTTAGAGGTTGCTGTGAGCTGTGATGCCTCAGCACTCTACTGAGGGCAACATAGTGAGACTCTGTCTCCCCCTCCCCCCCCAAAAAAGAAAAGAAAATAAATGAACCTACACACCCCACCAGAAAGGAATCATCAGGGACACGAAGAACTAAGCATCTTTTTCTTTCCTGAATTCACTTTAATTAGGACCCTGAAAGGACTGTTAGCTCAGAGCAACAACATCAAAAAGAAGGCATGGCTACAAAGGAAGATAAACAGGACTCCTGGTGGTAAGTATTAACTGAAGATGTAATCAGTCATCAGTAGGAGACCAGCATCCTCAAACAGCAGAGGTAACACAACTGTTTTTGTTTTATTACCTTTCAAGAGTTGACCCTGTTTATGAGTTTATAAGTCTTCACTCAAATGCACTATATATAGCACCTCGCTCTAAGTTGGTCCGGACTGTGAGTCAAGTTTAGACAAATGTCTCTACAAAGTTATACAGTTCCTGGGTGGCACCCATGGCTCAAAGGAGTAGGGTGCTGGCCCCATATACCAGAGGTGGCGGGTTCAAACCTGGCCCCAGACAAAAACTGCAAAAAAAAAAAAAAAAAAAAAAAAAAGTTATATGATTCCTTCCCTGAAGACTGGCCGAGAGGGACTTATACAGCACCTAATTTTCAAAGGGAAATCACCCAAGCTATGGTTTTTGTGAGCTTCTATCGCACACTAGCGCCCTCCACAGAGGGCACAGTACGAGGCATAGAGAACAGGTGGGTATCAAAGGCAGGCACAGGCCGCTGGGTTCTGGCTGGCTGAAGCAGGGTGGAGGAGGGCCAGGGATGTATGTGCCTGCTCAGGGCACTGGGCCCAGGGAGAGTCAGGAGGCCAGGCCAGCCCTCCACTCCTCACCAAACCAGAGTTCCCATGTGGGGCTCGGCCCTCCTGGAGGAAGGGGCACCTTTTCTAATTCGTACAAAGTTACTGCATGGGCTGAAATGCAGGCCCAGAATTGACTGAACCTTCAAATTTTTAGAGAAAGCCCAGAAATGTATGCTTTTAAATGCAATCTCTCGTTTTGTTAACATCACTCTGTTTAAAAAAGAAGAGGCTTGTGTAAATTTAACATAATGTGAAAAAAAAAGAGAGAGAGAAGAAAGGAAATAGGTTGCGGGAATCCATTGGACTCCTTGGACATCATAGGGCACATCTGCTTATAAAAAATCAAAGGTAGCTCATAAAAAATCAAGAGTATCTTTCTTTTTTGTGAAGGTGTTTATTCAAATATATTCAGAACTTCTATTGAGTTTAGATCAGACGATTTTTCATAAGTTATCATCAACTCTTCCGTGTCCAGAGGTAAAGCCCTAAATGGGCTGGGTCAGACCTCTGTCACCAGCACTCAGGGGCCATTGTCAGACTTCTTGGGTGCCTGACTATATTCAATGTGAAGTAAAAATTATCTTCAGTCTTACACTAAAGTAGTGGCTCTGACTTAGAAGTATGCTTTTAAATATGACATTTTGAATTTTTTTAAAGTGTTTACGGTGAAGGTGTTTACTCAAATAACAGAGTATCTTTTAATAGTTGATTATAATGACTCCATTTTTTGCTATGTATCAGATCTCATAAGAGCTTTGTGAGTTAACTTTTTTAAAGGATGACTGCTTCTTGGTCATCCACGTATCTGAGACACCCAGGACACAGGGGAAGGAAACAGTCTCTGTCCTTGGCCATTCAGAGTCTGGTTAGGGAGAAATGTAGTGAATGGTGAGAAGTGCTAGAACAGAGGATATAAACAAAATACTATGGGAATAGGGAGGGAGGAAGGTATTTTCTTTGAGAAGAGCCAAGGGTGGCTTCCCAAAGGCCCAAGGGCAGCCACTGTGGTCCAGACAGCCCTGCTGCTGCCTTTTGACTTCTCAGAACCTCCACTCAGACTCAGGGGATGATAGCAATGATGATGATGATGATGGTAGTGGTGGTAAGAGTATTATGAGAGCAACTATAATATTTTGAAGATTTTGCCATGCAAAAAGCCAAGATTTGAATATAACAGTCTATTAAAGCTGGGAGAGCCCTTAGACACTATTAGCTCACCCTCATCACTGAACAGGGAGACATTGTGGTTAAGAAGGGTGAAGTGGCTGGCCCAGGACTGCAGAGAGAGAGGGCTGGGGCAGAGCAAGGGACAGACTTCACTTCTCAAACTGCAGTTCAGTGAGCTTTCTATGAAGCCACCTTTCTGCCAGCTGCGAGCAGAGGAAATACCATCATCTATATCTCCCCGGTTTACAACTCCTTAATGAAGACAGATTAAGAAATCATAGCATGGGGCTGACAGTTCCAACCTCTCACCACAGTGGGAACTGGAAGCTGGGCCATCACAACTGTAGTTCCCATAGGAAGGATACTAGAATTAGGTGATATGTTCTCTACTAAGGACTTGACATCATAAAAACCAGATACAATGTATCATAATGGCAAGGATACAATGGCTGTGAGCTGTAATGAACACTTAAAATGGTAAATTCAGCTCCAACTCATACAACGTGGGTATAAGTATACTAGATACGATTATATGTGGATGGAAGTATAATATGAAGTGAACTCAAGCTATATTCTGGCCATACAAATATAATAGTGAATATTAAACATTTAATAAATGATGCTTTGATTTGCTTCTTTAGGATTTAGAAAAACTTTGTGGTCTTGATCTCTTAGAAAGTCACCTAAGGGATTACACATTGAGATTCTTTCCTATGCCCTCCTAAGCCAAAGCATCAAAATCTACCCACTGGCCTTTTTTTTTTTTTTTTTAAGACAAAGTTTTACTTTGCTCCCCTCAGTAGAGTGCTCTGGTATCATAGCTCCCAGCAACCTCAACTCCTGGGATCAAGTGATCATCTTGCCTCAGCTTCCTGAGTAGCTGGGACTATAGGTACCTGCCACAACCCCAGCTATTTTTAGAGATGGGGTCTCGCTCTAGCTCAGGCTGGTCTTGAACTCCTGAACTCAGACAATCCACCTGCCTCGGCCTTCCAGAGGGCTGGGATTACAGGCCCACTGACCTTTTGGTTGTGCCCAAAGTTATACAGTAGGTTTTCTTCTTTCCTAGTCTCCTTGAAAAGTTCATTAAAAGTAATGACTGGACCATAACCTCTCTCCTCTTTCCAAAATTCTACCTCCTGAGTTGGAGGCAGCCCTGGCAGGCGTGTGACCATCACCCTGCCGGTTGCTTGAGAACAGACTATAGGATATTCTCGGGAGACTCCCTGAAAGAAGTTTCCAAGTCTCCCCCCCAAAATGGTCCAGCCAGGCCTGGGCAGCGTCAGGTCCCTGAGGATGTTGGTGTGGTGAGCTGGTGAGCGTGCACGCTTGGAAGTGGCTGGCAGAGCACTGAGGCTGGGTAATGTGGTGGGTGCATCAAGTCACTACTTGGCAGAACCTCCGCCACACCAGGCAGGGGAAGGGAACAGAGGCCAAGCTCTAAATTTATTTTATTGGAGGCTAAGGGGCAGGGATAGGCAGGACCCACTATATAATGTGCAGGACCTATCTGTGAAGAATGAACATGCAAGTTCTTGGTTCAAAAATAATTAAGGATTTCAACAGCAGATCATCAAACAAGCAAGGGCCTTATAGAACTGCATGGGTTACGTGGGCATGAAGTCAGCCCTCAGCGCAGGTAAGGCTGCTTGTTGGCTCAGGGAAAAGAGGGCTATGTTAGAGTGAAAGTCGGGGTCATGTGTGACTTTAAATTATGAGGTATTCTTTCGAGGCTCATCAAATTAGCCTAAGTAATAAAGAGGGTGCCAAAAAAGTATATACATTTTAAGAAAAGAACAGACTACATTAAAATTAAAATACTCAATATATATCAGTAATGTTTGCTATCTGGTATAGTGTATCTCGTATGTCTTGTAATTGCAGAAGTCAAATGTGACTTGAGGATTACAATTTTAATATTGTTTGTTCCTTTTTAAAAATGTGCATACATTTTTTGGCACTCTCTGTAGATGCAGAAGGTTGCAAATGCAGAGAGCAATTTAAAATAGAGGTAGAATTCTTTTTATTCCTCTTTCTAAACTGCTCTTCTTTTGTTTTTTAAATCATAATAAAATATGTACAACACAACATCGATCATTTTAATCCTTCCTAAGTGACCAGGTCAGTGGCATTATATGTGTGTACATTCACAGTGGTGAGTGACTGTCACCACTATCTATACCTAAAAATTTTTCATCAGCACCCAACAAAAACTTGTATCTAAATAATAACTTCTAAATAATAACTTCTTCCCGCCTCACCGTAGCCCTTGGTAACTTCTGTTGTACTTTCTGTTGATATGAATTTGCCTATTCTAGGTATGAATATAGAATTGTTACCTACCACATTTTTTTTAATGATTCCAAACCAAATAGCCTGTAACACATGGTCTTCTGAGGATCCTTGGCAACACTCACCTGCATATAGAGCAAATCTATGGCCGCTCTGCAGCCCATCAGCATGGAGTCGAGGGCTGGATCCAGATACCTGCATCATTCAGGAGCATTAGTGTAAGTCACATGCCGTGGAAATGGCACGCCCGGGAGTGAGTGCCCTATGAAGCAGGGGCCCCTTTACTAACAAAGCCACACCCCTATCTATACTTGTTTACCATCTCTGTGGTACCCCCCACCTCTTTTCTTTCCTAATTTCTTTATTCTATAAGCTTTTGCCTGGTGGGCTCTGAGAATAAAGATGTAAACAAAAAGACAAGTTCTAGTGGGAACAGTCCATATCCCTGTTCACACTCAGCCTCCCTCTTGGACGTCAAGTCCTGGATTGCCTTTCCCCTCCCCTCAGGGCCTGGCAGAGTCATCTTCCCTATACAGACCCACCCCCATAGCCATCACCCTGTACCCAGGCCACCCTCACAGCCTGAGCTGCTCTAGTAACCTTCTCCATAGGCTTTCTGCTTCATTTGGGTGCCCTCACCTCACTCTTCACATCCTAACCTGAGTGCTCCTCCCTGCGTACCCCTGGAGACTCTCCTAGCCCTGGGAGTTAGATCATCAACCCTACTTGCTTCCCAGGCCCTCGGTGGACCATTCCTACTCTAATTTCCAAATCCCTCTCCTACCATCCCCAGCCCAGCAGTACATTCTAACCCTGCTTTCTCTCCTCTCTCCCTGCCTGGGAGACCACTTCCTACACCAACCTCCTTCCCTGACTGATCCGCCTTGCTCTGCAAGCCTCAGCAGCATCCTCACCACTGGTCCCTGATCCCCAAAGCTGTGTTAGCCACCATCCTCTGGACTTCCTCAGACCCTTGTCTTCATCCTGACCACTGCTCCGATCAAGTTTTCTTAACACCATATGTGAAGAACCCTGAGAGCAGGGGCTGGGTCCTATCCAGAGTTGTCTCTCTGCACCATGACTTGAGAATAATTTGCAAATAGCAAAGGCTCCATGTCAGTCCATTAGATCCAGAATCACGAGGATGAACTGAAACTAGTTACCGCATAAGCAGGGTAGCATGTTAAGAAAGGACAGGAACTGTCAAGGCACTATGGCTGATCTAGAGTGAACCAGCAGGTAAGGTAGAGCCTCTACATACAGAATCGCAGGGTGAATTGGCCGATGGGTGGGCTTAGACCGGGAAAATCAGGGTTGCACATTTCACACTCTATTTAGGTACATCCTCGCACATCCCAGAGGCCCCTGTGTGCAGAGAATAGCAACCATTGCAACAGAGAGTTAGAAGACACCCTGACCCATCCCAGACTGGGGCTCTGAGAGGCCAGGGAAGGCACCCTCTGGTCTGGAAGTAACCACATCACCCTGGAGAGAGGACCTAGAGAATCCTCAAAGAAAAATTCTTGAATCTCCAACTAGACCTTACTGCGAGGCCTCACTTGTTATGAATATACAGCTTTTAGACTTGCCCCTTGTGCTAGCCTAACAAGGCCCCCTCTGGAAAGAGGGTGAGGCACCTGGGGTCCTCCACCAGGCTCTCCCCTCATAGGTCCTGGTCCCCAGCTCTAACACACAAGTTCCCACAAGCAAAGATGATCTACTGGATCCTAGATGCTGGCCTATGATTGGGTAGATGTTTTATCTTGTACTTATTCTGGAATTTACCTATTAAGTGAAGACAAAGGGAAAGCCTAATTCAAGCTGCAAGGTAAGGAAGAGAATCCTCATTGCTCCTTTGATCTCAAGTTTTCAGGACAGCTCATGAGCAAAAACAACAAGAAAATCTAAGCCCCAGGGATTTTGTCTTTCTTTGCTTACTCTGATCATTATCATCAATATAACAGTAACAAACATAACCAAAACTTACTGAGCATATGAGATTACTTTATTTAACCCTCATAATAATCCTATGATGTAGGCACTATTATTCCCATTTTACAGATAAAGGAACTGAGGCCTTTAGGCTAAGGTAATATAGCTAAAACCTGAGAGAGCTGGGACTTAGGTTCACATATTCTGGTCCCAGGAACAACCATGCTCAGCCATCACCTCAGTGTAAGCAGCTTCCAGAACAGCTATTCTCTATACATGTAAATGGAACTGAATCCTTCTGTCTTTCTTAGGGTGCTATGGCACAAGATTTTGACCATTTCTCAGAGTACTTCTGAAGAATATTATATGAACTTCTAGCTTTGCTGAGATCTTCCTTCCAAAATTCAAAGCCACAAACTGGGGCTCTAGTGAGGCCAAGCTAACTACTATTCCTAAATTTCAAAATGCCTTTTTTGAAAGCATCTGTGGGTGGGGGTGAACCTAAGCGCATCTAATATAACCATGGCAATAAATCGTGGGAACTAAAGTTTATAGGAATGGGGTGGGGCAGTATCCTGCTTCCTACTGCTATTTTCTATTTGCTTGTTCTCCACAGGACCCCATATTTCTGGGGAAATGATAGTATTTTCTGCAGAGGGACACTTGTGCCCTATCAATCTAGGAATATAGGTGGCCTGGTATGCAATGTTGTCCGTTAGGAGCATAAGCCCAATACTTAGAGTTCAAAGTCACAGCAAATCGGCTGAGTCCACCCATTACTTTCAGAGAATACCACACTTCAACAGAGGAATCAGATCTTGTGATAATCAACAAACTCCTTCTGTTAATATGGTTAGTAATCCTTTCCAAAGCAAACCAATGGCCAAAAATTTATCTCCATTAACTACTTCGAGCCTCCCTGGCCTGCCCCTGTTTTTCAAGCCTTCCCTTCTTGACTGCCCCTCAGTAGAGGTGTTGAATAGATGGCCACCTTCCTCATTTGATACCCCCGAGTGCCCAGCTGAGACTGGTGAAAGTCATCCTCAACGTCCTGTTCTGTAGGACAAGCACTCTGGTTCACGCTACCTTCTCTCGGCTTCACTGCTCTTCCTATGACTTTCCCCAGTCTCTGGTCTCCAGCTGTCAGGCCAGAGCGGGACGAGGTGAGATGTCCCCAAAGGCCTTCTGTACTCAAGTGCTTACCAATTCCGGAGTCCAACTCTACAGTTTTCCACTTCAGAACTTCGAAGACTAACATAAGGGAGTTCAAAGTCCGCCAATTTTTTCACCACTAGAGAAGGGAGAAAGGCAGTCTTACTGGCTGAAACAGCACAAAGAGTTCACATACAGCAGCTTTCAAATGAGAGAGAAAACATTACTAGAAATAATAAAATCACAATAAGAATATTCTCTTGCATTTGCATATAATTTTTAACTTTCTGACGTTCATTCAAAGAATAAAAATTTTTGATATTCATAAAATACCTGCTCCTCGAGTAGGGGATATTTCACACTGTGCTATAGATAAAAAAACAGGTCCAGAGACACCCAGCACCTTCATCAGCACACCTCAGCGCCTGGGGCCACGCCACCACCTGGACCCTTGAAGTTGCGACTCAAAACCTCCACCCCACAGCTTCTGGAGGATACATGTAAACTACTTTGATATTGCTGATACCACTAGAGGACTAGAAAAACACTTGCAACATCTAGAAACACACTGTAGAGAAAAGCAAATTGATGTGAATTGGACTATCTTCTTATACTATTTCATGAAACTTAAAATAAGAATCTAAGAACTTATTTCTATCACCTATTGTATATCAAATATTCCTTAACAGGAATCATGCTGGAGTAAGAGGTCCTGACACCTGGAGACTAGCACTCCATCCCCAGGAGGGTGTGACACGGACTGAGAAGGACACCAGAATTGGGACTAGGGGTGCACAGAGGAAGTACGCTTGCTGGGATGGCCTGAGGACTTGCTGGAGCTGCTCGGTCACAGCTCTCCCTGAACAAAAATGCAACCTTCCACCCCTCAAGCCTTTGGCGCAGAGGCCAAGAACAGAAGCAGAAATTATCCCCTGGGGGGCAACTGGCCCCTGCTGTGACTCCCCCATCTCCTGGGCTGTCCCCCTGCACAGGTGTCTCCTGGCTGCCCTCATTTCTTCTGGCATTCTTACCAGAGAGCTTGCCTTCCTTGCAAAACCGAAAGAGAAAGAGGCCGAAGTAGTCCCAGAGCTCCCGACACAGTTCAATTTTGTGTGACACCACCTTGAACCAAAGACAAGCAAAAAGGGGGAAGGTTAGGAGTAGCCACTGTGCTTCCTAACTGACATGCAGAACTGGAAATTGCCTGCACACATCAGTAAAAAGTGCCCTCGTGGGTAAGCAGACATTCAAAGAAAGCCTTTTGGAATCTAAAAATAGTACATACTTTAGAACATCTAGAAATATAAAAAATTAGAGCAAGGAAAATAAAAATCAGTCCCACCACAATGGACAGAGGCTGTCCCATCTCAGATACGGACACATCTCCTGAGTTATTTTGGTCTTTATTGTCCTGTGGAAGGCAGCAGCCGTCAGCAGCCACGCCCCAGGAACATCTGTCCTTTTTTTTTTTTTTTAATGGAGACAGAGTCTCACTTTATGACCCTCAGTAGAGTAGAGTACTGTAAAATCATAGCTCACAGCAACCTCCAACAACCCCTGGGTCCTTGGGTTTAAGTGATTCTCTAACCTCAGCCTCCCAAGTAGCTGGGATTACAGGCGCCTGCCAGAATGCCTGGCAATTTTTGGTAGAGACAGGGTCTCACTCTGGTTCATGCTAGTCTCGAAACTCTGAGCTCAGGGCAATCCACCCGCCTCGGCCTCCCAGGGTGCTAGGATTACAGGCGTGAGCCACGACACCTGGCCCATCTGTAATATCTGCCCATGGAGGGTGCACACTAACTTACCCCCCTGGGGGCTGGATTACCAGACATTCAGGAAAGGGCCACTCCCCGCTGCCCTGGTGGCACACCAATGTGCACCTGCTACTGTCTCCCTTCATCACTCCAGGCCTGCTTCTCCTGGTGCCTCCTGTGATGGTCAAGGGTAATTTACTATAACATTGGCTCCGTGGAAACCTCAGGTGCCAGGTACCAGCTGCTTCATTTCACTTTCCTCTTTGACCTTTACATCAAACGGCTTTCACTTTGACACCGATGGTTTCACTTCTACCAGCTGGTCTTCAGGCTGTCAGAGGATCTTCCACACTACCACAGACTGTCTCAGCGCCCCCTCCCCGAGCCTGGTCCCTCTTGAAGACTGGGCTCTCATATTTTCCCTGCTCTCCTAGTCTAGCTTGCTGAGCCATCTCTGTACCACCCCCGGGTTCACCTCCCCAGCACTGCACAGGAGCGATGCTCGCTCTAACCACGGCTCTCAGCTCTCTGGGTGGCAGCTGTACAAATACTAGGCTCAAAGGGGCACTTTTCTTGTCAGAGATCTGCAAATTACCCAGCAGGCAGTCTGCCGAGGTGGCTGGGATGAGTGGGTGTTCTCTGCCATGGCTTTGAAAATAAAGAAAAGCTCAGGAATAGTTTCACAACTGTCACTCGACGACAGATTCCCATTCTCCTTCTGTCATGCTTTCCCCACACACACCCAGGAGCAAAACACAGGGCTCTTCCTCGTGTGGGGGTGACTGTGTGGTAGGTACTGTGTGGGAAAGACTTCTTTCCTGCAGTTAATCTGATCCTGACCACTCCGATCCTATCTCTCTCTTTTTTCATCCATTTGGTGAAAAATGTACCAAAGCAGCAGATAAAAAAGAGTGGGATCAAAAAAAAAAAAAAGAACAGAGAAGCTTTTTAGAATTTATACAGATGTAAATATAAAACTTTCTTTTGCAAGCAGTGAGCATCAGCAAAAGAGACGATAAGATTTTCTCTCTTCACAAATGTTAAGGGTAATGGAAACTCGGGAACACGAGCACCCGCAGGAACTCGGAGCCTCCGCAGGGCGTAGCCTGCTGCCCTCCCTGGTGAGCCCACAGGAAAGGAAAAGTCCAGATGGGCTGAGGCAAACCCGAGGGACAAGGTGGGAATGGCAGCTGGTGCGCTGAAGACGCCGAAGATGACTTTTACTTACAAAATGTAAATGATGGTTTCATGTAAGCCAGAGAATTTGCCAGCCCCGGGAAGGGACTTCACATCTGTAACTGGCCAAGGGCTCCCTTTACCTGCTATGGGAACGACCACTTCCAGGGTAGGACCTCCAGTTAAACTTACCTGATCTCAGGCTTGAGTTTCTCACAAGCCAATGCAATTAAAAGAAGGAAAGCTCCTTTTCTCTAAGACCACAAGTGTGCCCCAGCAAATGCGAGCTTTTAGTTTCAAGGGAAATGGACAGAACAGGTGGTGCCGTGGAACCCCGGAGGGACTGCTCCTCTCGGTACTTGTTCAGTGTTCCCTCTGATACCAACACCACCACCATAATGATCAATAACCACATTTAGAGAACATGAACCATTTCAATGATTACTCAGACATTGTCTTTAGGTAGTGTAACTTCCCCAAACTCACACAGCCACTATGGGGCAGCACAACACAGTCCTGCATCACTTAACTACACGGATAGGGTCTGGGAAATGCGTCGCTCGGCCATGTCATCGTGTGAACATCACGGAGTAAACTGACAGAAGCCTGGATGGTCTAGCCTACTACACACCCAGGCTGTATGGTAGGGCCTATTGCTCCTAGGCCACAACACAGCACGTTACTGTGCTGACTAATGCAGGCCACCATAACACAATGGTGAGTGTTTGTGTATCTAAATATAGAAAAGGTATAAGAAAAATGTTATACTATAATATCATGGGATCACCATCCAGAATTGACTGAAACATCACTTTGGGGTGCACATTTGTTATCTGAATCCAAGGTTCATCCTAAACCCAGAAGATAGGACCTCAAACTAACACCACCACTACCTTCCCCCACAGGCATGGCTAGTTTGGCCAGTGAGCCCAGGGTGCAAACAAGTCAACAAAGATGCCTGTAGGCAGGACAGGTGCTCCCAGGTCTGCAGAGTCCCAGCCTTTTCCAAATTACCTTCCCTCCTGCAGCAGCACCGCTGAGCGACCTGCCTGGGCCCAGATGCATCTGGGTTTGGGAAGCTCACCCTCCTCTTGCTTCATTTCTGTGACTGTCCCCCACTTTGCAGGCCCTAGGCAATCTAGGGAACTGTGTTTTTGTGCTTTTTATTTTGAGTGCAAACTCCATGGAGCATCAAGGGTTTTTGATACTTTTTTAGAAAAATTATTCTGGAAATCTGTGGAAGAGATTGGCAAGACTGAAAGCAAAGAGACTAGCTGATGGGCAGCTACAGAAATACAGGTAAAAAATGCTGAGGGATGGAGCTGAGGTCGGGACCCAGAGAGGGAGAGGAAGGAATGGAGAAAGGTCTGGTATACAGAATCGGTAGGACTTGGGGATGGAGGAGGGGGAGCCTAGAACTTCTTAACACGTGGTCTCAGTAACCCAAGGTGCTGCAGATATTGTTCAACCACGTGGAGAATACAGAGCCGAGGAAAGTTGGGGCAGGGTATTTATGATGACGGGGAAGAAAAAGGGTGTTTCCTAATCTGGAGATACAAACCACTCCACTGAGGCCAGGGCATGGGCAGGCTTGAACTTTGCCTAGAAAGAGGAGACAGATGCTTAGGTGAAGGCAGGCCTGGCAGCTGAACACCCAGATGGGAACACTGTGGTCTCCCAACTCAGAGGGGTCAGATACCACAAGCCTAGCACAAGAACTGTCTGTTCTTTGAAAGGTCCTAGAAACTTTTCAACTTTTCCTATTTATAACTTCTTATTCTTTCTTGCATATTTCTCTGGAGGATTAAAAGTAAAAATCCTCCAAAGGAGAAGGGCCTGGGAGCTGGCCCTGGGAGCGGTATGTGTGTGAGAGACAGCAGCACATCCTTGGCAGCTCTGGGTCCCGCCCCTCAGTCCTCAGAGAGCTGACTAAAACTCAGCTCTGGCCCTGTGAGCCCAGAATTAGACCCACCAGGCATTGATTTCACGAGTTTTTCTTAGGGGGGAAAAGAAGATTTCAAGAAATTCTCTGTCAGCTCAGCGCCCATAGCTCAGTGGTTAGGGCACCAGCCACAAACATGGGGGCTGGAGGGTGTGAACTCAGCCTGGGCCTCCTAAACAACAATGACAACAGCAACAGCAACAACAATAAAAATAGCCGGGCCTTGTGGCTGGTGTCTGTAGTCCCAGCTACTTGGGAGGCTAAGGCAAGAGAATCACTTAAGCCCAAGAGCTGAAGCTTGCTATGACTGTGATGCTATGGCACTCTACTGAGGGCAACATAGTGAGACTCTGTCTCAAAAAAATAAAGAAAGAAAGAAAGAAAGAAAAGAAAAGAAATTCCCTGTCACCCTCTGCCAGGAACTGTCACCAGCCCAATGGCCTGTTTCACACTCAGCCAGGCTCGTCCCACTTCCTGCTCCCACTCCTGGGGGCATCCCATAATAAAGCAGTGTGCACATTTCCAGGGAAGTGACAGCAGCTCTAGGAGGGACCTAGGAGATCTCTGGGAAATTGGTGCCCACAGGGAGAGTGACATCAGAGAGCCACTGGTGGACCGGCTGGATCTCAGGTACCTTGGAAGGTCTCCGAGGGATGAACCTCTGAAGACAAGTCGCCCACAGAGTGAAATAGGCAGGAAGCTTCTGGAAGGTAACCATTTGTTAAGCCCTGCTTTACAAACAAAATTACTCCCAAATTCAGTTCTGGAGCTGGAGTTTAGGCAAAGCTTACCTCTAGGACTCTTTCAGCAGTGTCCGATGTTAGAATTTCCACTTTAATACTCCTTTCATTGGGCAGAAGTACATCCAGAGATGCTTTCTTGGCAGTGATGTTAAATGTGTTCTGTAAGCAAAGGGAAAGCAAAGTCAGCTTCCAAGCATCCGTCAAAGCTGCTCATGCCGCCCCAAGTGGATAGCCGGCTGCATCCTTTCTCCAGGCACCTGAAGTGCACAAGACCCAGGTACAGACAGGGGAGGGGGGAAGCTTGGGGGTGGGGCAGAGTGGGGTGAGAGGGGCCAAGGCAAAGCAATGACATGAAGCTTGAATTATTTCCAGAATATTCATTATGGAGCAAAAGTTTTTGATAAAATCATCCACACAGTTAACAATTTCAGAATTAACTCTCCCATTTTTGAATATTGAAGAATCCCTAAAAGTCTACATCTTAGATTCTTTCTGACACTAAACATTCTTTTCCTTGTGGCTCCTAATTCTCCAATTCTTGGGCAGGTGTCCAACAATTCAATTTAATTCTGACATGATTTACCCCAAGTTAGCATCTGATCCCACAAGTTAAAGGACTCAGTTCTACAAAGCCACCCCCATTCAGATGCCAGCTACAAATGGGGTGCCTGGGTTACCCACACTTCTAGCCAACTGACCACAAATGCAGGCATTCCCATGACCCCTTCTCGGGTTTGGTAATTTGCTAGACTGACTCAGAACTCAGGGAAACGGTTTACTTACTGGCTTATTACAACGAACGCACCTCAGGAATAGCCAAACGGAAGAAATGCTCAGTGCACAGGGGCGTGGAGCGCCCACTTGTTCACTAGCCAGGGCTCTCCAAACTGCGCCACTGAGGGGGTCTTGTGGAGGTTCCCTTATGGGGGCATGACTGATTACAGCACTGGCATTGGTGATGGAACTCGATCTCCAGCCCTTCTCCCTTCCCCAGGTCAAGAGTGAGGATGAGACTAAAAGTTCCAGCCCTCTCGATGTGTTCAGCAGACCAGTCCCAGTCCTGAAGCTAAGTAGGAGCCCAGCCAAAAATCAACTCAGTATAAACTCTGGAAGGTTGAAAGGCACTTATACAACTAAGAAAAGATACTCCTATCACTAAGGAAATCCCCAGGTTTTAGGAGTCCTGTGCCAGGGACTGGGGACAGAGATCAAGTGTGTTTTTTTATCACACCACACCACGATATGCAGTAATGTATGATTTTATTACAGCAGAAGTCTAACCTCACAACCTATGTGGCCAACATGGGGAAACCAAGTGCCCATCTAACAGTGAGTGTCCCGCTGAGGGCCCAACTCCCCAGCTCCACACAGCCCTGAAGGACAGGTGCTAGAAGCAGTGACAAATATGGGGACCTGCAAACTTCTCAGGATGAAATCCTCTGGAATGTTGACAGGCTAGAGACACTGTAAGGCCATCAGAATCCAGGGAAGCCTGGGGCCCAGAAAGTGCTCCAGTTACCCCAGGGAGAGGCACCCCAGAGGAGGCGTGGCCTAGAGAGGCCAATGGCTGCCCAGAAGGGGCCTCATGGGGCAGGCTGTGGCATCTGGGAACTGACGGTTCTCAGCATCTCCCAGGCAGAATCCTGTCAGTTCAGACTGGCTTATCTCTGATTGAGGTCACAGCCTTTCTCATCCCAGGTTCCCCGAGGAGATTAAACCCTGAAGCCCCAAGACTTCCACTGGATGCCAAGAATTAACTTCTTTCCTAGGCATTTGGATGGTGCTAGTCAGGTGACATCCTCGGGGAAGAGGGAGAGGAGTGAAATCATTGTCTGTGTTATGAGACTGCTGTAGAAGCTGGAATACCAGTAACACGGTGGGGAGGGGGAAGTCTCTTTTTACTGACTAGAATATTTGCATCTGGCTCAAGTCACCGGCTTTTGGGTGTCAAGCTGGGGGAGGAAAATCCAAATGACCAATCAGCTGATTGTTTGGAGATCATGAAGTTGGGGTGCAGGCAAGCTGATTAGGTGAGAGCCTATCCCCTCATCAGGCAATGCCACGCCTTCCCTCAGACTTGGCCACCCACATCCACAGCAGATCAGGCCTTGGGCTTTGTAGGGTTCCCCGGGGGCTCCAGCACCTCAGTCACCTTGCCCAGGCACCACAAAAGGGTGATTACATTACTGAGAGGCCTTTCTCCCCCACAACCTTGTTATCACAGGGCACGCTTTGACTTTAAATTTTAATTCCCCCCACGTAAGGTTCTGTGATTCTAAATCTAACTACTTTAGAAAAGAAAATCAAACTGTTGTTGTTTTCCAAAATCAAACTGTTCGTTGAAAAAGCAACATATTCTATCCACATACCTGAGTAGCATGTATACATAGCCTGTCATTTATGAATATAATTGCTATGTATTTATTATATACAAATATACTGATAGATCAGATACTGATCAGTGTGTCTGTGCCAACAGCTTCACTTGCAGCAGTCCAATGTTGGCTTTGGCTGTCTTTGATAAAGGCTTTCCTCAGGAGGGCTCCTGGAAGGTCACACAGAGTCACGTCTTTAATACAGTGTGCCCTTTCCCAGAAGCAGGAAGATGCCCTAGGACTCTCTGGATAGCCAGGCCTGGAGCAGAGGAACCATTTGGAAACTGCGGCCTCCGCACTTAGCCAACACAGTGAAAACAGCCAGGTGGGGAAACTGCCCGATCTCTGCTCCTGGGGCTCCCTTCCTGGTCTGGCTGGTCCCAGCCTCCCAACAGCCCTGCTGGAGCAGTCAGGCTGCAAGTCAAGCCATCTACATCTCTCCTGCATCTCCTATATCTTCTTACTGCCAGTAAATCACTCCGGCCCTGGAGAGGGGCGGAGAAGAGTCCGATGGCAGTGGGAGCAGACACTCACCCCCAGTAAAAAGTGGCTCCTGTTTCCCTTTCACTAGTATCAGTCCAGAGTCTCCCAAACGTCTAGATATTATGTTTAATTTTCCCCCAATGGGGAAAAAAAACCCAGCTAGAGCAGTGGTTCTCAACCTTCCTAATGCTGCAATGTATTTTCATTGTTAAAAAAAGGGTCTTGACCCATAGGTTAAAAACCGCTGAGCTAGAGTATATGATCCTGCCTGCCTGCCCCCTTTCAAACACCAGCTTAGACCAAGGCACCGTCCCCATCGCCCCTCCCAGCCACACACTCATCCCGTGACACTGCCTCCCAGGCCTCTTCCCATAGAGTCACACACCAAAATGACAATATTTGCACTGCACACTGAGATAAAGTGGGCGTGATGCCACTGGAGGAGGCGGGGCCCACTAATGCCGCAGCTCGGCTGAGGGATGGAAATCTCTGCACAACCCCAACCTTCTCCTGGAATGCGATCCTGCACTTCAGCACTCGGTCCTGTATCACAGTACATGGCCCCACGGCATGGCGTTCAGGACGTTTATTGACGTGTCCCGACAACACAGCAAACTCTGTGGGTGGACTGGGTGTCATTTAGCGCCCTCCCACTGTTTCCCCAGCAGTGTCGGCTCGCAGCAGCTGTTTGATATGTAGTTTTTGAGTGTACGAACAGTTAAGTGGCAGGATCAAGAAGGACCAGGCGCAATGAATACAGGATCATCTTCCTGACTGAAACGTAATGTCCTTTTCAAAATCATAACACCAATGTCCTTTATAAACATCCTTAGGAGGAAAGTTACCTTTGTCATGCTCTCCTTCTAGAAGCAAACAAACAACATTTAGAAGGAAAACTGTCTTTGAAGAAACAGGCCTGAACCTGAACCACTGGGATTTCAGAGGGGCTGCCAAGCACAGTGGCCAGTGAGGGAAGTGGAGGGCTCAAGGTGCCTCGGGGCCCACGCTGCCCACGAGCTGCCTCAATGTGGTCAATTGCAGGGCTCCGCAGTTCTGGGAGCACAACTCTGGGTCCATCTGACACCATCTGGTGGCAAGGGATGCTGAAGAGATGTGTGGACACTCCATTTTTGCAAAAAGCAACTTCTTAGCATGGCTGGGAAGAGAAAAAGGGACTGGGGTTGAGAACCGTAAGGGCACCCTTGTATGGATGAAGATGGTGCCAGATATGCTAAATGCTTTACGGGGATTGCTTAGCTTAATCCTCAAAGCAACCCCAAGAGACAGGAGCACGTTTCTCCATTTTATAGGTGGCTAAGAATATGGCCGTAAGTCATAGTAATCGAAAGTGGGCCAGCCAAAACTGGAATCCAGGTCCTATCACTCTGGAACCTGAACTCTTAACCACTAGGCCGGTTTAAGGGCTTCTGATCTTTGTAAAGTTAGAAAACTCTAGAAGTCGAGCTCATGGCTTTACCACAAGACCAATGCACTGCTTGTGCCCTAGGGCACAGTGTTAGTGAGAAAGTCCTCTTTCTCCCTAGCAAGAAAGGAACAAGAAACAAGACCCAGAAATACAACAGACAGATTCAACTGACTCAGTGTTAAGTGAGACAGGACTGTGTGTGTGTATATATGTTTGACACACACAAAAATGTATAGAAAGGGAATATATTAAACTGAAACAATAGTTGTCCTTGAGGAGGGGGACCATGAGGAAGGAAAGCTACTTTTCATTGTGTACACTTTAGTGCTGTTCAAATTTTACTACCATCATCACCTCAGCAATAAACTTCTCAAAGAAAAAGAAAGCACATGTATACGTAAGCTACCAAGTGTATGTGAAAATAGGAACCACTACACAATAGAAGACTCTAGGGCCATTCTCAAGTTGCATAGACCAGTAAAGATATCACTAGCTTTGGGCCCCTGTCTAAATGAAATGTGTTCTGGTCTTTGCAAATCTGATCAAAGTATCCTTCTTCCTCCTCCTCTGTGAGGATCCAGTTCAATGGATCCAGTTAAATTATTGTACAACTCTAGTCCCTCCAAAGTTTTTCCATTCAGTCAAGTGCATACATGCAGGCATAAACATGTTCTCATATACACACATGTGTGAGTAGATTAAGTGATGTGCTAAACAGATACCCTTAGCAAAGCATCAGCCTAGGGGTCAAGGGGCCAGTGGTTACTCAGATCAATGAAAGGGAGTTGCTTATGTCATTCTGTTCATGCTTAATTTCCTCCACGACCCATTTGCAACTAAGTTAGGAGCAGAGAATATACGAGTGTTAGCTGCATGAGGCCCAGTGTTTTGATGTCTTCATCACGTCACGCTTGGAAATTACAGCTGCAGAATCAAGATCACAGACTTGTTGGGGCCCTCAGCGAGAAGAGCTGCAGCTATTTTACTATATCCTCGGGTTCTCTTCTTCAAGGCCAGTTTTGAGACATATGATTCTTAGGATATAGAAAAAGGTATGTTAACAAAATAAGCCAATGGTCAAGTGACATACCTCATTTTCCAGCTAGAATCTACAACTCCCAAATAAAAGAGTTAAAAAGAAATTAAAAAATAAATAAGTAAACCTCCTGTAGGACAGGAATACTCATAACACTGACAGAAGTGCAGCCATTTTAGAAAATCAGGTCAGAAACCAGTAATCCTCTCCCCAGAGTGGAGTGCCTCATGGCCAGAGTTCCTGGAAACATCCTACCTAAAATCCTGGTCCCAAGGATACATTCATAATCCCGACCAGCACTAAAAAGCCCCTGAATGTCCTCTGGGCTCACTGCCCCATTCCAGCTATTCTTACAAGGCTAAGAAAAGCCCTTTGCAACTGTGGGAGCTGAGCTGACACCTGGTCAGTCCCCATGCTCCTTTTTCCCTCTATTGAAGTCTTTCCTTGTCCCTGGACTGGGCTCCTCTCCTTTCTTGTGGACCTTCACCCCGGTTCTATGCCAGACCTCTTACTTCCCAAAGAACAAAATAGGAACCACCCTTCCATCTACTTGAAGTGAAAATAGTTTTCCGAGTCCAGGCTCTGTGGGGCTGATGGCCACGGCACACGTCTGAGCATGGGCATGCCCACATGATTAATGAAGAGACATGTCCTGCAGGGGAATTACGGCCTCAGCAAAGAAGCTTACCAGCTGTACCAGTTTTAAAAACTCAATGAAGACATCACTTCTCAATATGTTTGGGTCCATGGTCACTGAAAAACAAGGACAGCAAGCTGTTAGCACAGGCTGGGTGGAGCCTATTAATTGCCCTGTCCTCCTGAGATCACTCCAGGCCTTGCCCATGCACACCTGCCTCCCTGGAGATGAGGGAGGTTGTGACCTTTCAAATACAGGAAAATCTACAACGCTTGCCTCCTCCTGGCAATCCTGACAACACTGAACTCATTACAACCCATTACAGTGTTCCTAGAATCGTACCTTATTCCTGCACACCCTACTGCTCAACTCCCTTTTGCTGCCTTACTAGGGTAACGGAGTTAACATGAAGAAGCAAAAGGTCTTGGGCAGCACCTGTGGCTCAAAGGAGTAGGGTGCCGACCCTATATGCTGGAGGTGGGGGGTTCAAACCCAGCCCTGGCTAAAAAAAAAAAAAAAAAAAAAAAAAAAAAAAGAAAGAAGCAAAAGGTCTTAAAACTTGTGTCTGAACTCCACGCTTAGCAAGATGCATGGTAATTTGAAAACTTTAAATCAACTGAGAAACATTGATTAAATGACAGGGAGTTACAAAAGAAATTACCAAAAATAAAAACCAAAAACCAAAAAACAAAAAACATAACCCAGCAATGGTAAGGCTGAAAGATTTAAGGTCTTTCATTCTTCTATACTTACAAAAACATTTTCACCCCTAGCTTTAAAGCCCTGGATGCCCATAGCCAGGTATGGTGTCCAGAGCAGACAGGCAGACACAGCAGGTGAGAGCTGCATGAGGGCCCAGCCTGCTTCTTCCCCTCTCTCCCCTCCTCCCATAAGCCCCGCCCCCCACTTCAGCTTAACTCACATACCTACCATATATTACACTGTTACATTGCTTTCTTCTTTTTTTTTGTTGCTGTCTTACTGATGTCATCAAATAACTTCCGCCAGCATTAAAACTGTCTGGCTTCTTATGGGTTGTACCTTTCCCAAACAAGGGCGTGTTTTCAAAATAAACTAAGAGAGGAAGCATCTCAACATGAGAAACTCTTCCTAAAAGGCGTACCCTCTTTCTACAGGGTAATTTCAGGGTGAGGGAAAGCCTTCACTATATTTTCCGCCATATATGTCACAGGGCAAACTAACTTTATGTATTCATTAGCATGGATTCTTGGGGATGGAGAAAACTGTGGAAGAAAGTACTCACCCAACTAGTATTTACTGTGTGACTATTAAGTTCTAGGTACTGGGCTAATAAGCACTTTGTATATTTTAGCTCATTTAATCTTCATGACAAACCTGAGGGAAATATTTTACAGAGAAAGAAACCGAGGCTTAGAGCAGGTTAAGTATCTTGCCCAAGGTCACAGGCCAGTGAGGAGTAACAGTGGGATTTGACCCAAGGTGTGATTCCAGGGCCATGCTCTCAGCCATGATGCTAAGCTACAGGGTCTCCTTGCCTGACCTTGTCAAAGAGGGTATACAAGACATCCTGATGGTACAGTTAAAGACCAGGCCTGGGGCAGCACCTTTGGCTCAGTGGGTAGGGTGCTGGGCCCATATACCTGGGCCAAACCCGGCCCTGGCCAAACTGCAACAAAAAATAGCCAGGCGTTATGGCAGGCACCTGTAGTTCCAGCTACTTGGGAGGCTGAGGCAAGAGAATGGCCTAAGCCTAAGAGGTAGAGGTTGCTGTAAGCTGTGATGCCAGGGCACTCTACCGAGGGCAACAAAGTAAAACTCTGTCTTTATAAAAAAAAAAAAAAGGACCAGGCCTGGAAAAGTGATCCCTTAAGCTCTGTGATCACTTGTTAAAAAGGTCAGGTCTTAAAGGAGTATTTTGCTAAGACATGAAAAACCAAACCAAGAGAGAATGAAAATTTAAAAGACAATGCATTGAACAAGCTTATTCAACAGGTCTAAAAAGAGCAAAACAGAAACAAATGGGAAATAGATGGTTTCTAGAATTTTCACCTACTGTGCTTAAAAAAATACAGCTATAAAAAATGAGATAAATCTATAGTCATTGACGTAGAATGAGCTCTAAGATATATATTTTAAAAGGGAAAAAGTCAACATACTTTGACTCTGAACTCTTTTTCTTGGAGAAGTTTATTGCTGAGTCAATTGCTGAAAACTTTTTTTTTTTGAGACAGAGTCTCACTACGTCCACCTCAGTAGAGTGCTGTGCTGTCACAGCTCACAGCAACCTCCAACTCTTGGGCTTAAGTGATTCTCTTGCCTCAGCCTCCCAAGTAGCTGGGACTACAGGCACCTGCTACAGTGCTTTTTTCTTGTTGTTGTAGTTGTCATTGTTGTTTAGCAGGCCCAGGCAGGATTCAAACCAGCCAGCTCTGGGGTATGTGGCCGGCACCCTAACCACTGAGCTATGGGCGCTGAGCCAGAAAAACCTTTTTCTTTAGCTATGAAGGACATTAGTGTGATAGTTGGCAAAGTTTAAATACGGGCTCTAGATAACATTTTGACTTCCTGATTTTGATAACTACATTATGGTTATATAAGAGAGTGTCCCGAATCTTAGGAAATACACAGAGAAATATTTAAGGATAAAATGGCCTAGGCTCATAATACTGAGGTGTTTCCATAAAATTATATATATTGTTATAATATATATACACACGAGAGAGAGAATGGGAGTGCAGATGTAAAATGTTAACATTCGGGAAACATGAGTGAAGAGCATACAAATATTCTTTTCATAATGTTTGAAACTTTTGTACAAATCAAACTTCCAGAATAAAAAGTTTTTTAAAAATCGGGTATAGAAAAATATGTACACTTCAAGGTGTGTTGAACAGAAAGGGAGCCTCCTACATACCCGTGTGCATGGATCATCTCTGGGGAACACACAAGCCACCTGGGGCCCAGAGTGGAAGGGAAACTACTTTTCATTGTATATTCTGACATATGATTTATATTTTTTAAAATATGTGTTTAGACTTTTCCAATTTTAAAAAAATTACGTGTTTAATTGTCAGTTTTGCTATTTTCCTTCAACACCCTCTTTTCTCTGAGAGCTGAATGTGGCCAACCATAATTTTGCTGTGACAGTGTTTTCAGACCCAGGCAATAGGTGAGGCTGTTGCACTGTAAGCCTGGGGGGGACCATAGCAGGCTGCTGCGCATCCTTGGTGCCCCAGCCTGGCTTCCTGAAAGCACCGAGACGGATGTCCCATCTCTGGCCCTGCTAATAAAGATCTCTGATAGCTCCCAGGGCCGTTCCTACAAACAATGCAGCCAACCCCTGTGTTTATTCTTGATCCAGATAGCATTTC